AGGGGAGGGGAGGGGGTGGACGTCGCACTTTGTGGTGAGTTTTGGATAGCGGCGAGGAATCTACAAAAAGGTCGTACTTTTGGCCCCTCTCCCTGCCGCCATTGCGGGGGGGGGGAAGAGGTAGACCCGGGAGCGGCGGAGCGCGGCGGGTGGCGGCCACGATGGGGAGCCTCGGGCACACACAGCAGGGGACGACGGGGGTGGGTGTGGGTGTGGGGAAAGGCGTACCGGTAGCGGTCCGGGTTGTCGGCCTGCTGTGCGGCGATCTTCTTGATGTCAATGATCTGGACGACCGGGTTTGAGACGTCCTGGCCTTCGTACATGGCCTTGATGGCGCCCTCGGTAAGCGACATGCTGCGGGGGGGGGGGTGGAGTTGGGTGTGGCTGGTGGCCGAGGTCGGGCGAGTAGTGGCAGAATCTAGCGTTTTTGGCCCAAGGACCCTTACTTTTACTCTGCCGCGTCCACAATCTGCGCCACGTTTTACGGGAGATCGTAGGAGAGGTCGACCGAGACATAGGGGTAGAACGAGTCGCCGTCGGCCTCATCGCCTGGACCAAAGGTGGCGCCGTCGCCGAGGTGGCCGAGGAGCGACGCGAGGTGTGCGCGGAGCTTGGTGCCCGCCTTGCGGCGCGGCTCGACAAGGAGGGTGAGGTACGAGACCGGGAGCCCGTAGCGGAGGACGGCCTCGACGTGGACGCGGATGGCCTTGAGGTGGACCCAGGCGATGTAGGTCTCACCAAAGTTTGCGGCACACCACTGGGCAAGGCGGCGCTGCTTGAGGACAAGGCGCTCCTCGAGCGAGCCACGGGCGTTGCGGGCGTCGGGCAGGTCGCCGACGGCGTCGTCGTCGGCGAGCGGAGCGTCAAACTCGCGGACGACAAACTTGGAGGCGGCAGCCTCGCGCTTAAAGTCGTCTGCGAGCTTGGCAAGGACGTAGACCGAAAACAGGGTGTACTCCGAGTCCTTGGCGACGCACTGGGCCGAGCGCGGGACGACAGCCGAGAAGTTCTCCATGGTGTCCGGGTCGAGAACGTTGACGAGGAACTCGTACTTGGCCTCAAACTCAGAGACGGCCGAGTTCCTGACGGCGACGTAGACGGTGGTGAGGAAGGCTGTCGACATGTAGACCTCCTTGACGCCCTCGAGCGAGTCCAGCGATCGCATCAGCAGCGAGCCCGTGGTCTTGCGCACCAGCTGCGCGAGCTCCGACTTGAGCTCGGCCACCTCTGCAAACTTGATCTTCATCTGCTCCTCCACCCGCCCAACATCATCCTTGATCTTCTGCACCAGCGCCACCGTCGACTCTCCCACGCTTGTGTACCGCTGCTCGTTCCACGAGAACTCGGCCACGTACCCGCGCATCGATCCGCCCTCTACCGACAGCTGCACGTTTCCCGCCCCTGACGACGACGCGCCGCCATCCACACTTGCTGCAAGATCGACGCCTTGCTTGGCAATCTTTCTCGCCACTGACTCGACATAAGCATCCGTCCGGCCGAGATCGTCGGTCAGAGCAAAGAGCGCGTCGAGGTTGCCCACTCTCAGCGACGGAATCCGGAACCGAGTGCAGGCAGCATGAGCCTGTGAGGGGCGACCGCAACCACACGAGTGCGACGAGTGCCACAACGAAGACGACGACAAAGACGACGAAGACGAAGACGACGACGAAGACGAAGACGACGACGGCGACGACGACGACGGCCACAACGAAGACTACGTGAGTATTATGGCTATCTTCTTCTCCCCTCTCCCCCCTCCCCCCTCCCCCTACCCCCCCCCCCCGTCCACCCCACCCCCATACCAACTCCAGGTCACGCGCTGTGCTCGTCCGTCACCGACGAGTCACCACCCACTGGCGCATCGATTTTTGCCGCCGACCAACCAACCGCACCACCCTTCCCCCCCCCTCTCCAACCCCTGCGGCAACCACGTCACGAGGTCTACAATACTTCTGGGGGTTGTGGCGTATGGGCAAATGGGTACGTACGCTGATGGAAGAGCTCAGCTTGGAGTACTGAGAGCCGCGAACGCTCTCGTCTGCGTCTACAGGGACGCAGAGGAGGAACGGTCCGTCGGTGGCAGAGGTCATGTGCTCCCGGCGAGTTCGAGTCGAGTGGCGAGCCGCGAGTGGTGACGGCGACGAGTTTCTGCCGGCTGGCGGCTGCGACCCAGCCTGGCGGCTGCGACCGGGGGGGGGGGGGGGTGGACCGAGCCCGGCGGCTGCGACAGGGCAAGAGGTGAATCGGATGGATGCCTTTACACAAGCTACGTGCTCGATGAAGCGGGGAGTCCAGAAGTGGTGGCTTCAGATGTGGCGGCAGCGTCCGAGTCTTCAGGTGCAGGAGGTGTGACGACGAGATCGCCAACGCGCTCGAGCTCGGCCTTGAGCTTGGCGATGATGATGGGCTTGGCCACAAAACCGTCCATGCCAGCGCCGAGACACTTTGCCTTGTCCTCGTCGGTGGCAAAGGCGGTGATGGCCACAATGGGAACGTGGAGCCGCGGGCCCGTGGGTTTGAGCCACTCGGGCAACGGCCAGTCGCGGGCGTGCTCTTCGGCGTCGCCGGCCTCGAGCGCGCGGATGACACCCGTTGCCTCGAAACCGTCCATGATCGGCATGGAGATGTCCATGAGGATAGCATAGAAGCCCTGCGGCTCAGTGGCATGGAGATGTCCATGAGGATAGCATAGAAGCCCTGCGGCTCAGTGAGATAAGCAAGTACGCCATTACGCCCGATGAGCTTCTGATTGATGAGCGAGTCTTCGACAACGAGAACACGGCGCTTGGGCTCGGGCTCGGGCTCGGACAACGAGAACACGGCGCTTGGGCTCGGGCTCGGGCTCGGACTCGGGCTCGGGCTCGGGCTCGGGCTTGGTCTCGGACTCGGGCGAGATTTTGGGCGAGATGTCGAGTGAGGTCAGAGGCAGGGTCTCGTGCAAGGTCTCGTGCGAGGTCTTGGGCGAGTCGTTGGGAACCACGTGGAGGCTGGCGTCTGCAACGAGGTTGACTTCGTCGACCGGTACGAGTGTACCCGAGGGGCGGGAGCGGTTCGGTCCGCCGAGCTCGAGTGGCGAGTTGAGGGTGACGTCTGCGTGCGGCGGTGCGATGCCCATGACCGTGTTGCCGACGGCGTACAGGAGGTTGCGAAGGCGGACGGGACGCGGCAGGTAGCCGAACCGCTCACCGTCCTCGGCGGCGATGCTCTGGGTGGCCATGACGGTTGGTGCGGCAATGATGACCGGGAGCGGCATGCGGCGATGGCGCGAGATGCGGATCGAGGCGAGGAAAACGGTCATGTTGATAGAGAGAATGACGCCGGTCCGCCAGCCCCACTCGTCCATAGTGCTGATCGACCTGTTGGACTGCGGCAGCTGCGACGACCACTGAAAGTTGGACTGCGACGCCTCGGTGACAAACGAGTCGACTGAAGCAGCCGACGCCGATGTAAACTGCGGTCGCGAGTGCAAGCCGTTGCTGGTGGTGGACAGCGCCGCCGAGGCTACCGACGAGACTGAGCCGGATTCGTCGAGCCGCCACAAGCGAACGATCTTGTTCGCCTCCTCTACGGTTGTGGCAAGCTCGGCAGTGATACCGGTCTCGCGCAGCATGGCAACAATGATACCACCGATGTGCGGGTTCTCGTCGACGACGAGGAGGCGAGTCTTTGGGATGGCATCACCGTAGTGGGCAAGGAGCTCGGCGACGTCGGCCTGCTGCTCATTGAGGGCAAGCGTCGAGAGGGTAAAGCCAAAGGTGGTGCCCTTGCCAGGCGTCGACCTGCAGTACATCTCACCGCCCATGAGGTTGACAAACTTCTTTGACAAACTTCTTGGAGATGGAGAGGCTGAGTTGAGCCCCGGTCGGCCTGGAAGAACGGCGTGAAGAGCTTTTCGACGTCGTCCTCGTCAATGCCGATGCCGGTGTCGGTGCACTCGACACGGATACGGGTGGGCGCGCCGGCACCACGCGGTGTCGCCACCGACGGCGCTGAAGAGCGAGCCGATGAGATGGCTGACGAGCGCGCCGACGAGCGCGCCGACGAGCACGCCGACGACGAGCCCACGACGGCAGGTGTCGCTGCGAGCGTCCGCCGCGACCGCGAAAGCGGCCTAGACACAGGGTAGCCATCATCATCGTCGGACACCACAAAGCGTGCGTTGACTGACGGCTTGGTGGCGTCCTGCTCGTGCTGGTCGTCCTGGTCGTCCTCGTGGCAAACGGTGATGACGACCTCGCCGCGCTGGGTGAACTTGATGGCGTTGGAGAGGAGGTTGGCCAGGATCTGCGAGAGGCGCGTAGGATCACCATATAAACGGTCCGGCATCGAGAGCGGAACATGGGTGGCGAGGCGGAGCGACTTGGCCTGGGCGTTACCCTTGACCATTTCGACGGCAGACTCGACAAGCTGACGAAGCGAAAACGCAATGTTGGTCCGCTCGATGACGCCACCGGCGTTGACCTTGGAAAAGTCGAGAATGTCCTGAATGATGGTGAGGAGAAGGTGCGACGACGACTCAAGAGCCTCGAGGCAGTCACGCTGCTCGCGGGTGAGCGCCGTGTCGAGCAGGATCTGAACGTTGCCGAGAACGCCGTTGAGCGGGTTGCGGAGCTCGTGCGAGAGGCGGGCGATAAAGGCGGATGTTGCCTCGGACGCACCCTCGCTCTTCTTCAGCTTGAGCTCGGTCTCCATGGCGTGGCGCTCGTGAGTGAGGTCACGAATGGACATGAGGTAGAGGTTGCCCTTAGCGGCCTCGGTCGACGCAATCGGCGAGCAGTGGATCGAGAGGTAGTTACCGCCGATGGAGACCTCGACTTCGTCCCCCGAGCCAGAGGCAATGAGGTCGCGGAGACTGTAGATGGCGGCGATGACCTCGGGCATAGTCCCCCCCAGCCGGAGCAGGCAGTCGTGAAGTGTGACCGAGCCCGGCCACCGCGCATCGACGCCCTCGTCGTCAACCGAGCCCATCATCTGCTGCAGTCGGACGGTACCGGCGGTCCTGTCGAGCGGATCGAGCGAGTCGAGGTTCAGCTGCGGCAGATGGCGCTCGCGCGATGCGGCGCCGACCGACGATGTTGCCGTCGCAGGTCCCGACGTCGACGAAAGCGAGCACCGCCGTTCAAACGGCGACACGCTCTTTGTCGAACGACTTCCAGCCGAAAGCTTCACGCTCACAGAGTGCTTCGACTGGGACAAGCGGTGGCGCGATGCCCACGAGAGAGTCTGGGCACGTGAGGCCAGCACCTTCTGTTGGCCGTTCTCTCCACTGTCGCAACGACTTGCAGATGACAATGACTGAGAGTGGACGGGCTTGCGGCGATGCGGCTGACCGACGACAGAGAGCGACGACGAGATGGTAGCGAGTGGCATGAGTACATCGACCGAATGCGCCGAACCACCCGAGGATGAAGAGTCTGTGTTCGACTCGATGTTGGCCATGGCCGACCGACCTGGCTTGGATGCCTCCAGCACCGACATCGACTGCGAGAGGGCCGACTCAAGCGAGACGCGAGTGGACCGAGAAGTGCTCTTCTTGAGCGGGCGGGTTCGAGGGACTTGCGACGAGAGAGAGCCCGAACACGAGGGAGACGAGTGTAAAGCCATTGCATCCGGCGGTGGCGACGGTGACGGCGACGACGACGGCGACGCCGACAGTGATGACGATGGCGATGACGGCTCGTAGATGTATGAGCCGTGGGACGAGGTCGTGGAGGAGGAGCAAAACGACGACGAGGCTGGCACTGACGAGGCAGCCACCTTAGCACTGTCACATTCGATGCAGCACTCGGATGTAGAGCGGGAGAAGAGCGAAGATCCTGAGCCATGGATGCGAGAGCGGTTAGTTGAGAGTCTATGGGAGATGCCCGAGGCCGATGACGCAGCCGAGTTGGCACTGTAGAGGAGGTTAGTCGAAGCTCGGCGTGAGAGGCGACCCGCGCTGGCTCCGCGAGCGATGTCGCGCAGGGGCTTGTCACGAGAGGCAACAGTGGCGCGAGGAGTAGAGACGGACGAGAGGGAGAAGAGCGAATCCGAGTCCGAGGCGTTGGCAAAGACGCGTGGGGAAGCCTGGACGGTGCTGTAGGCCTTTCCGGCGAGAAGGCTCATGACTTGCTCGAGCGCATCCTCGGCCGATGCCGCGCCCGACATGGCTGCACGGGCCTGACCATAGATTCGGCGCATGTGGGAACGAGGCGTGACATGGCCAGTCGCGCGCGTTGCCGCTGGTGACTGTATGGCTGGTGCCGATGTGGCACTCGAGGCAGGGGCATGCGGTGGCAAGTCCGCACTCGTCAAGAGCGACATGGGAGTGGCAGTCTCGGCAAAGAGCAGCGGAATGTTGACCGACGGCGATGGGACAGATGCAGCACAGACACTCGACCTGCTGGCGGTGGCACTGCTCTTTCCAGAACGATCCAGCTGAAGTGACGAGTCGACGACGTGGCGTAGCTCGCTGGCAGAAGGAGGGGAAGCGGTAGCATTCCGGAACCGCTCTGCCGCTGACGGCGATGATGTTGGCGAAGATGATGACGACGTCGATGACGATGTTGAGCTTTCGCTCCTGCCGCTCGACGCGTGGCGCTTGAAGGAGACTACGTCCGACTCGCCGTATGAAGTGTAGCGGCGACGCGAGTACGCACTCACAAGTGATGAATCATTGAGATAGACCGTGGTAGAGTATGAGAACGAGTCAAGGGTACCACTTGAGTTGTCCAAGTTGGAACGGCGGGAGTGCGAGCTTCGTGCAGCGCGCGAGCCACGCTGCAGTGCAGTGGCAGAGATACGAGGCAAGGCGACGGGTGCGTCGGTTCCGGGGACGCCTGGGACGCGTTGAGCGGCATCGAGTGTGAGTGAGGAGCGACGGCTGCGGCGCTGACGCGATGAGCGATGGCGGCTACGGCGCTTGTGCTCACGACGGGCAGTGAGGGCAACGGTGGCGAGTGTCGATGTTGGCTCAGGACTCGCCAGATTGGGCGAGGCATCCCCAGCGACAGGTGGCGAGTGGCTATGGAGAAACGAGGATAGGACGCCGCCGGAGACAGCCATGTCCTGCAAGACCATGGGGGAGAGAACGCCGCGCTCGATGGTGCTGGTGCGTGCAGCGGACGACGACGATCTCAACGAGGCGGCTTGTAAGCCGCTTGCCGGCCTTGCGGAGCTGTGCGGGCTCGTCGGGGAGCTCACGTCTGTGCTCGGCGAGGGAGAGGAAGATGGCGAAACCGAGACTTTTCGAGCATGCGACATTGCGCGCTTGGGAAGCTTGGACGCGAGCGAGTATTTTCGTGTCGACCCACGGTAGAGCGCTTTCACCACCTGCGGGTCGAGCGAGTCGGCCCGTGGCTGAGTCTTCTTGCGGGCGGCGGCCATGATGGCAGCTTCGCCCAGCGAGCGCGAGCGCTCGAGCGAAGGCGTGTTTCCACATGCAACCAACGAGTCGGTGTCGTTGACATCGACAGTGAGGCCAAGCGAGGATTCGGACCGGGAGGAGCAGGCGTCAGGATGGATTGAGAGGCGGGCGCGCGGTGGCGAGATTGGCGGAGATGTCGACGCCGTCGAGCTCGCTGCACCAGGCGATGCCCGGCGCGCACCGGAGAGAGCCGATAGGCGGCTGCTGTGGGAGGAGCGCCCCGAGTGCGGGGCGGACGAGCGGGCCAAGCTTCCGCTACCGAGCTCTCTGCAGGGCAACGGGGTCATGCGGATGTCTGCAGAAGAGGGCTTGATGAGAAAAAGGTCAGGCCCGCGCGGAGCGACCGATCCGGAAGCGAGCGATGAGTGTGATGCGGTTCCGGACGATCGCAATCGCGACCGCGACCTCGACGTTGACGCTGACCGCGGCGACGACAGTGATGACGACGATGAGGCCGACGACGACATTGTCCCTTCATAGTCGGAAGTCATGCAACCTGACTGATAGTCGTTCGAGAAGAAACGCTCAAACGCGCGGTTGACTGAAATGACACACATGCGGTCAAGGTTGTCAGCCGAGACGACGGCGAGCGGAATGGGGACCGACTCGATAACGGCTTCGGCAAAGTGCTGGGCTGCGAGGATGTCGAGCTGGACTTGGACTCGATCGGTGATGTCGACGCCGACGCAAAAGAGGCCGTCGACGTGCCCATCCGTACCAAAACGCGGCGTGATGTTGAGGACAATGGTACAGGCAGGTTCGAGCGCCGAGTTAGCGCCGGTGGTACACGAAGCGAGCGAAATGCTCTTGGCAGTAGGCGTGTTGTGCGCCGATTGGCGACCGGCGGGCCGCCACGCGGTCTGCTCCACAACGAGACCGACGATTTGCAGGTTGTCAACGAGCGCAAGGTTGAGGATGTTGGCAAGAGTGAGGTCCTGGCCACGGGCGCGAAGCAGATTAGTCAGCTCTGAGCGTTGGGGCTCGGACAGTGGTGGCGAGTCGAAGATCGACCTGTCGTCATCATGCCATGAGGCCGAGGCCGAGGACAGCGGCGCACTCGTGCCTTCGACCTGATCCAGAACAGCCGAAGTTGACTGGGAAAACTTGGCCTGGGGAATGATGAGGCCGGTGACGTTACCATCGTGGACTTTTGGCTCAAAAACGCGAAAGATGCGGGTGAAGGCGTTGCCGACAGCGTCGGCGGCAGACACACATGTGAGGTCTGCGGCAGCCGAGTTCCACGAGACGATGGTAAACGAGGTATCAAGCATGGTGACGATGCCACCGGTGCATGCCGCGAGCTGCGAGGAGTTGAACGAGGTAGTGAGCGCAATGCGCTGGTATGTCTCGGAGAAGAAGCCGAGGAGGCAGCCAAAGACGACGATGACGACGATGACGACGGTGCCCTGAATGGCGCACGCAGAGGCGTGCGCGGCGACGGACCACGGACCTAGGGCGGGCGACGAGTGGTCAAGGAACGGGGCATGCCAGATGTTGGCCCAGGCGAGAGCAAACTCGACGGTAGCGGCGAGCCAGATGACGGCGATCGTTTGAAGGCCAGTCATTATGATGCGAATCCAGGAGAGGCAGAGGGTGGCGATGAGTGGGGTGAGAATGAGCGGCGACCAGACAATGTGAGCGACTCCGCCCTGGACAAACGAGCCACAGACGCAGATGAGCTCGATGGCGTAGATGAGTGCGGTTGCCGAGGAAGCGGCCGAGTCGGAGGTGGCAAGCATGGCGGTGAGGAGCGAGATGGAGAAGAGAGCGCGACCAGCGAGCCATGCCGGCGCGGCAGCGAGCCAGCCGATCGACTTGATGTCGGACGGCTCTGCAGAGAGCCAAGCTGGGCGGACGATGACGGGAACGACAAGCATGGCTATGAGTATGACCCAGACAACAGTGACGATCTGGAGCTTCATGGCCTCGAGCGAGCCGAGCCACTCTGTTGAGGTCAGATTGTTGAGCGATGGCGGGCTGTAGGAGAAGAGCTTGCGGAAGAGAAACTGCGACGGCTTGTTGTCGAGCTTACGGAGCATGCTGAGGTACTTGGCGGCCGAGGCAGCGGTGTCGCGCTCGGCGCTGACCTTGGCTGCCGACTCGCCGAGCTGAACGCGGATGCGATCTAATGAGTGGAATGACGCCGAGAGCGAGCCCCGGCGCGTCGACCAGGACTTGCGCTTGTCTTCAAACATGCAAGAGATGGAGCCACTCTTTGATGCACAGACGCGTGAGGCCGAGGGTGTCAGGGCCGGTGGCGTGCTTGCACTTGTGGCTGTTCCCGCAACGGCGTCATCGCGGATCGAGTAGACTGAGAGCCCGCGTGGAAGGCGGGCAAACGACGAGGCGCCCGATCGGATGCTGGCCACCGAAGTGTTCGGTGAGGTCTTGGACGGCATTGCAGCCGTCCTACCACTTCGTGACGAGGAGTATCGATGACGGTCGAGTCGCGGCTCTCCGCCATGTGCGCCTGAGCTCGACTGGAGCATCTGTGCCGTCGACGTGAACCGCAGTCGCCCAGGCGTCACTGACCTCGCAGACGGCCATGGCTTTGACGGACGCGCTGTTGACGAGGTTCGGCTCTTGTCTGACTTGCGGAACGATGTGGCGTCTGGCGACTGCTCGCTGGCGAAAGGCGGCGAGTCGCGCATAGCCGTCGTCGTTGCGATGGACCGACACCAGCGGAAGGCTTGAACGCAACAACAGGTGTAGTGCTTGAGGGGCAAGTAGTAGCGGGACTATGTATAGTCTCTGCCCGCCAGGCTCGTGATGGGTGTTGGCGAATGTCGTTCGTATGGGTCAACACAGGGTTGTTCGGTGTGTTTGCTGGTCAGGTTGTGCAGAGGTGCGGGTGTGTCGTCGAACATGCGGGCGGCGAACGTACCGATTGCGGGCCGGCGTGGCGAAGATTTTTTTTTTTGCCACTGCCGACGGATCGCCGGTTTCCTTTTGCCCTCGGCGGTGCACTTTGCAGTTGCGAGAGCGAGGAGACGGCGAGGAGGAGCGAGAGGAGCTTGGATCGAAGGATCGGGTGGTGGCTCACTTGTCTCGTACACATTGACGGATGCTCGACGTGCTGCCTGCGGAGATTCTTTGCCATGTGGCTTTCAACATGGGGCTGTCAGCGCAAGACGTGGCGGCACTGGCGTGTGTGTCCACATGGACTGCGAGGGTGCTGACCGGGAGCGCGTACGTGGAGGCACGTCGGGCATCGCACGCGGGACTCGCGGCGTGTGCTGCGCAGGGAGCGTACCGTGCGGCGCGGATGGCGGTGGCGTATGCGCGGTATACTCGTGGGACGTGGACGACCGACGAGTTGTCATCGGCGCTGTGGACGGTGGCGGCCGATAGCCGCGGCGGAGCCGAGGCGGCGGCACTGGCGGCGGCGCTGATCGCGGCGGCGACCGACAACGATGACGACTGCATGGTCTTTGCCGGCACAATGGCGATCCAAAGCGCAGCTATGGCCGGAAACATCGACGTCCTGCGCGTCTTGCTCGAGTCGGACAAGTTTGATCCGAGTGCTGATGGCGAGTATGCGCTGTCCGAGGCCCGGATCCGCGGGCATGGGGCATGCGCGGCGCTGCTAGAAGCGGTTGGTAGCCGGTAGCGAGCAAGCGGGAGTGCGGGCGGCGGAGGTAAAGACTGCGACGGCGGGCGATGTGTAGGTGATGTGTGGCGGGTTACAGAAGGTGCGGGAGTCGCAGGTGCGTCGAGGTTGTGGGCGGGCGGTGTGTCGACCAGTCGACTTGGTGAAGGGGCAAAGAGATGGCCGAGGACGAGTCGTTTTGCGAGGAAGACGAGGTCATGGCCCGCGTGCTGGGCCAGGGGTGGGACGAGGTGCTGGTGGCGGTGACGCGGGCGGTGGTGGTGGACGACGGAGTGCGACACAATGCGCTGCAAAAGTCGCCGAATCCGTTTGTGGCCATCCTCATTCCAGCAACTCGCGGCAGCGGCGGGAATGGTGGCGGCGAGGGCGGTGACGGCGATGGGCACGACGATGGCCATGGTGATGACGGTGGCGCTGGCAGAGGTGTGCGGATTCCGCTCGGCCGCCGCGAGCGCAAGATGGCGCGCCGGGTTATGGAGAGCCTCGATGGCGATTGGGAGGTGATCATGGTCTCGTCGCGTCGGTTTGCCACGTACGAGCCGAGCTTTAAGGACGCAGCTGTGCGGATGGTGGTGCCGGCAGCTGCGACGTCATCGATCCTGGTTGTGCTCGCGGACCACCACAAGATCAAAAAGTGCAAGATCTTTGGCTCGGGCCGGCTCGCTCTCCCGCCTACGGCGTCGAGCGAGCTGGCAGCGCCGGTCCGGCGCGGGACGTGGGTCCACATGACGCCTCTGGCGACACCCGATGCACCGCAGGCGGCAGCAGCGGCAGTAGCCGCGGCGCCACCGACGGAAGTTGAGCTCCCACCGGGCGCGACCGGCTCGGTCCGGGTCCACGTCACCCGGCGAGGTGTGGAGGCCGAGTCGACGGCGGCGGCGGCGGCACTGGGCGCGGCGCTGGCGGCAGCAGGCGATGGCGACGATCCGGTCGTTGTTCCACTGGACGAGTATGTGGGAGGTGGGGATGACGGTGAGCTTGACGACTGTGAGTGGGACGAGGAGTGGGACGTGTATTCGAGCGACGACGGTGTGAGCGAGTGCGGCGGCGGCGGCGACGACGGCGATGACGGGAGTGGCGACGAGAATGGCGGCGTCGTGAACGACGATGATGACGCCGAGCCGGACGAGCCGCTGACGCTGCTGAGCATTCTGTGGCCGTTTGGTGGGCTCTACGACTATCCCGAGGACACGCTTCGCGGCATCCGCGCGGCGCGGGTCCGGAGGGTCATGCTCCGGGCGGGAGTTCTTGTGTGGTGCATCTCGATTGCGCTCCGGTTTGTGCACTGGCAGTTGTGGCTTGTCCTCACGGCAGCTTGTTCAATGGGCGCATGCGGAGTGGTCAAGCACCGCGGCAACGTCATCAAGTCGCTGGTCAAGCGATCGGTTCATCGCGGCAAAGGCGACATCCGGCAGTGGATTTCGACCAAGCTGGAGACGCGGCGGGCGGCGCGGGCGTTGCGCAAAGCGCGCAAGCGCGCTCGCAAGCGGGCACGATTCTGGGACCAGGCGCCGGCGATTGTGGTCAAGGCCAAGGCCGAGTGAGCTGGCTGCGTTGAGTCCTGCTACGGCATGATGTGGACGCCGTTGACACCGACGACGAAGAGAGCGAGGAGGGCGGCGAGAAGGAGCAGGTCGCGAGCGAGCGAGGCGGCGGCGGCGCGAAGAGGGTTGCCACACACGCCTAGGCTCAGCGCCTTGAGGACGAGAGTCGGCATCATAAAGTACCGCGGCTCGATGAGGCCTGCGGGGACAGTGGCGCCGAGTGTGGCAGCGAGCCAGAGCAGACCCCAGCTTGGACGGCGCATGGCGGCAAAGGAGCGGCAGACGGCGAGGCCAGCAGCAGCGTAGAGAGGGACAAGTGCGAGGCGGACGCCAGGCCCGCGCGAGAGTACCCGCTTCCACAGGTAGAACGGGAGGTGCGAGTTGTCAGCGAGGAGGTAGCGGTGGGCGAGAGTGCCATAGGCGACGGCGAGCGCGGCGGCGGCAGCGAGCGCGGCGGCGGCTGAAAGCGTCTGCCAGCGAGCGAGCCATGAGCAGAGTGAGCGACGGGTGGGCCAGCCGGCGAGCTCAAGCTCGGGGACAGCGAGCGCGGCGACGGTGGCGAGGGCGTATGCGGCGTTGGCGGCGTGGAAGACCGGCTGGTGGGCAGACTTGTCGCCGACCACCAGCGCGCCGTCGTTGTGGACGACAAAGGCAACAAAGAGGCCAACGTCGACAAGATACGGGCCTGCGATGGTGACGACGACCTTATATGGGCAGCGGACGAGGGTGGCGAGCGTCCCGAGCACGTCGTCGACCAGGCTGGGGTCGTCAGTATCGAGGCGCGAGTCGCGTGCGTCGGCGCGGAGGTGCTCGATGACGCCGACGCCACCACAGAAAAGAACCCACACAATGTTGTTTTGGCGGACAGCCATGGCGGCGACGCCGGCAAGTGCAGCCAGAAGATGGCGGCGATGCAGCGCGGCGGCGAGCATGGCGAGCACCATGGTCGCCGAAGGCACATCAGTGTAGTACAGGAGAGCGTAGAAGGCGTGGAAGGGAGAGGCAGCAACAGAAGCACCGACTACAGCCCACACGCTCAGCGGGAGTCGCTGGGCGTGATGAGACTTGCCAGGAGGCGAGACGACGCGACGAGCAGCAGCAGCTACAAGGGCGGCGATGAGAAGATTGATGACAACAAGAGCAGCCGAGAGGGCCCTGAGAGAGAACAGATTGTGGCAATCGATGAGCGAGAGCCGAGCGAGAGCCACCGCCAGTAGATAGGTACCAGGGAGAGTGGTGATCATGGGATCCCACTTGTGGTACTCGCCCGAGCAGTAGACAGAGGTCTGAGGGTGGTGGAAGAGCTCGTCCATGTGGGGTTGAGGGAGCGCAGCATTGACCCAATGTCCTGCTGTGGCCACGGCCGCCACAGCACCGCCCACTACAGAGAGGGCCACAACAGTGGGGTGCATATCTCTGTGCGTGCGCGGGGCGGGGTGTGGGAGGGAGGGAGGGAGGGGGAGGGGTGTGTGAGGGCGAAGCACTGACGATGACGATGACGATGACGATGACGATGACGATGACGAATACCACCATCATCATCACCTTATCACCAATGTAACCATGTCCATCACAGCCACACCCTGTAATCCCCCTG